CTCCTTCCTTCCTGTTTCTCCATTCCCTCCCTCCATTTCATTTCTTTCCTTCCCTCCCTCCTTCCTTCCTGTTTCTCCATTCTCTCCCTCCCTTTCCATTTCTTTCTTTTCTTCTCCTTCCTTCCTTCCTTCCTATTTCTCCATTCCCTCCTTCCCTTTCAATTACCTTCCTTCCTTCTTCACCATTGTTTCCTTCCTCCCTTCCTTCCTTCCTTCCTTCCTTCCTTCCTTCCTTCCTTCCTTCCTTCCTATTTCTCCATTCCCTCACTCCATTTCCATTTCTTTCCTTCCCTCCCTCCCTCCCTCCTTCCTGTTTCTCCATTCTCTCCCTCCCTTTCCATTTCTTTCTTTTCTTCTCCTTCCTTCCTTCCTTCCTATTTCTCCATTCCCTCCTTCCCTTTCCATTACCTTCCTTCCTTCTTCACCATTCCTTCCTTCCTTCCTTCCTTCCTTCCTTCCTTCCTTCCTGTTTCTCCACTCTCTCCCTCCCTTTCCACTTCCTTTCTTCCCCTTGCTTCCTTCTTTCCTTCCTTCCTGTTTCTCCATTCTCTCCCTCCCTTTCCATTTCTTTCTTTTCTTCTCCTTCCTTCCTTCCTTCCTATTTCTCCATTCCCTCCTTCCCTTTCCATTACCTTCCTTCCTTCTTCACCATTCCTTCCTTCCTTCCTTCCTTCCTTCCTTCCTTCCTTCCTGTTTCTCCACTCTCTCCCTCCCTTTCCACTTCCTTTCTTCCCCTTGCTTCCTTCTTTCCTTCCTTCCTGTTTCTCCATTCTCTCCTTCCCTTTTGATTTCCTTCCCTTCTTCCCCTTCCTTCCTTCCTTCTTTCCTTCCTTCCTGTTTCTCCATTCCCTCCCTCCCTCCCTTTCCATTTCCTTCCTTTCTTCTCCTTCCTTCCTTCCTTCCTTCCTTCCTTCCTTCCTTCCTTCCTTCCTATTTCTCCATTCCTCCCTCCCTTTCCATTTTCTTCCTTCCTTCTTCCCCATTGTTTCCTTCCTCTTCCTCCTCCCTCCTTTTACATTAAGTACCATAAGTGCAAGCAGGTACCGAAATGGGGCCAGCCAGCCAGCCAGCCAGCCAGCCCCTCTCTCCTTAAGACTCCATTCCAGCTAGAGGCTCTGCTTAATCTCTCTGGGTGTTCTTGGGGCTAGCTAGGCTACTGAAGGTACAAATCCCTCCGGGAGCTTCTATGGTTGAGGGAAGGTTAGAATCCGGGCCTCTCTCTCCTGCCACTCCAGACTCTTCCCCACCGAGGACCCCCTGGCTGTTGGGCTGAGTGGAGAGACACCCCCCCCCCAGGCCCCACGGGGAACCTCCACGGCTGAGACTGGGCCAGGATGGGCCCTCCTGAGGCCACTCTGGAAGGAGAGCCCGTGGGTGGGTCCCAGGAGCCCCGCCCAGCCGCTCACCCACGCAGGACCGCTTATCCGGCATCAGCGCGTAGCCTTCCCCGCAGCTGCACTCGTAGCTGCCCTCGGCGTTGGCACAGTGGGTATCGCAGCCGCCGTTCAGGATGGTACACTCGTCTATATCTGCAGAGGGAGGCAATCGGGGGCCATGCGGGCCCAGGTTATTCACAAAAACAAGAAGGGAGGGATGTAAAATAAGATAAGATTTTATATGATATAATAGAATAATAAAATAAAAACATGATATGATAATAAATAATAAAATCAAACAGTAATATAATATAATATAATAAATAAAACAAAACAATATGATATAATATAATATAATAAAAATAATAAAATAAAATAAATAATAAAATAAATAAAATAAAATATGATAAGATGTAATAAATAATAAAATAAAATAAAAATATGATATGATGATATGATAATAAATAATAAAAAACAGTAATATTATATTATACTAAATAAAACAATGATATGATACAATATAATATGACAAAAATAATAAAATAAAATAAATGATAAAATAAATAAATAAAATAAAATATAAGATGTAATAAATAATAAAATAAAATAAAAATATGATATGATGATATGATAATAAATAATAAAATAAAAGTAATATATAATGTAATAAATAAAATAAAACAAAACAATGATATGATATAATATAATAAAAATAATAAAATAAAATAAATAATGTAATAAATAAAANCAGGGGGAGCACAAGGGGGTCGTGAGCGGGCATGCCATACCCATAATGCTATGTACGTGACACTCTCCCCCCCCTGCATGCACACATGTGTGCATGAATGGTAACTGCCTCTGCTTTTGGCCCTCCCCAAGTGACTTCCGGTTTGCCCGTACGCCCGGTTTTTCGCACTCCGGAGGGTGAAAAATGTCCTCAAAAGAAGGCCAAGGTCAGCCGGCCAGCGCACTCATGCACACTGGCCAGCTAATAGGGCAGCACCTCTGCGTGCCGCCTGTGGCATGTGTGCCATAGGTTTGCCACCAGAGTTCTGCGGTGAGTAGCCAACCCACCTGTGCATCCCGTCGTCCCCTTCTTGACGAAGTAGCCCAGCTGGCAATGGCAGATGAAGGAGCCCTTGGTGTTCTCGCATTCCCCGTGCAGGCAGATGTTGGGGTTCAGGTCACACTCGTTCACATCTGGGGGGAGGAGAAGGGAGCTGGTTGCAGGCGTCCCCCCCCGCCATTCCCACCCTGAGAACTGCAGGCGACGTGGTGGGAGGCACCCAAGGGGATCTTACCAATGCAGGTTTTCATGTCGAGGGACGCCATGAAGCCATCAAAGCAGAGGCAGCGGTATTCCCCGGGGATGTTGGTGCACTGGCCGCCATCGCAGATATCTGGGGTGTCCTCACATTCATCGATATCTGGGAGGGAGGGAGGGAGGGAGGGAGGGGACCAAACGCAGGGCCCTAGGCATTGGCTTGCTTTTGTGGTGTCTTCCTAAATCACCCACCCTCTCTGTGTCATTGGGGCCCCCCACTCTTTCCCTCGTGGGGCTCAGCTCCCCTGAGGTCCGGTCCCCACAGCAGCCCCTGCAAGAGGGGAGATGGGCCTGGCTCACAACTAACTAGAGGGGGAGGGGGGGGTTAGCTCTTGCTGGGTGAACTGCAATGGATTGGGTCACCACATTAAGAAGGTTTTCCCCTCCTTTTTCTCCTTCTCTTCTTTCCTTCCATCTCCTTCTCTGCTTCCGCTCTCCCTGTCTCCTTCCTTCCTTCCTTCCTTCCTTCCTTCCTGTTTCTCCATTCCCTCCTTCCCTTACCTTCCTTCCTTCTTCACCATTGCTTCCTTCCTTCCTTCTTCCTTCTTTCCTTCCTTCCTTCCTTCCTGTTTCTCCATTCCCTCCTTCCCTTACCTTCCTTCCTTCTTCACCATTGCTTCCTTCCTTCCTTCTTCCTTCTTTCCTTCCTTCCTTCCTTCCTGTTTCTCCATTCCC